CCTGATGGCACAAAGATTGTCTCTGGCTCCTCTGACCGCACGATCCGGATGTGGGATGTTGAGAGTGGTGAGGAGGTGTCGAAGCCTTTCAAAGGACACACCGAGTCTGTCAGCTCCGTCGCATTTTCGCCCGATGGCACAAAGATTGTCTCTGGCTCCTTTGACCAAACGATCCGGATGTGGGATGTTGAGAATGGCGAGGAGGTGTCAAAGCCGTTCGAAGGACGCAGTGGCAGTGTCCAGTCCGTCGCATTTTCGCCCGATGGCACAAAGATTGTCTCTGGCTCCTCTGACCGCACGATCCGGATGTGGGATGTCAATAGCGGCGAGGAGGTGTTGAAGCCATTTGAAGGACACAGTGGCGGTGTCCAGTCCGTCGCATTTTCGCCCGATGGCACAAAGATTGTCTCTGGCTCCCCTGACCGCACGATCCGGATGTGGGATGTTGAGAGCGGCAAGGAGGTGTCGAAGCCATTTGAAGGACACAGCAGCGATGTCTGGTCCGTTGCATTTTCGCCTGATGGCACAAAGATTGTCTCTGGCTCCTCTGACAGCACGATCCGGATGTGGGATGTTGAGAGTGGTGAGGAGGTGTCAAAGCCATTCAAAGGACACACCAACCGTGTCCAGTCCGTTGCATTTTTGCCCGATGGCACAAAGATTGTCTCTGGCTCCGCTGACTACACAATCCGGGTGTGGGATGTGGAGAGTGGCAAGGAGGTGTTGAAGCCATTCAAAGGACACACCAACTATGTCCTATCCATCACATTTTCGCCTGACGGCACAAAGATTGTCTCTGGCTCCGCTGACTACACAATCCGTGTGTGGGATGTGGAGAGTGGCAAGGAGGTGTTGAAGCCATTCAAAGGACACACTGACTCTATTTGTTCCGTTGCATTTTCGCCTGATGGCACAAAAATCGTCTCTGGCTCCTATGACCACACGATCCGGGTGTGGGATGTTGAGAGTGGCAAGGAGGTGTTGAAGCCGTTTGAAGGACACACTGACTCTATTTGTTCCGTTGCATTTTGGCCTGATGGCACAAAGATTGTCTCTGGCTCCTCTGACCGCACGATCCGGATGTGGGATGTTGAGAG